GGTTTTTACTTTCTTTTTATAGTACATTTCTTTTAGTTTATATTTGGCTGTTCCATGCCTGAAGCTCTACTTAGTCCATGATATTTTCGAGAGACCTTGTTTTAAGAGTTTTTAGATTTGTGTACTCCAGCAGCGTATATAATACCTTCTCCATGTCTTCTCCATTTTTTTTTCAAACAATAGCAAACTTCTGAATCCAGTGGAGCCATGAGTTAACTATTGGCTTCAAGATATCCTCTGAATTTCCAAATCTGAGGTTATACCCATATAAACATCTGAAATACTACACCTAGTTGCATTTTCTTTGAACAAGATTATCTGAATTGATTGGTCATTGAATGATTAGATTTATATCCTGACTTTCATTCAATAGTTTAATGAAATATACAAATGGCTGGCTCCCTATGACGTATAGTGGATGTCTGTAGATAAGTTGGATTACAAAGACCGACCCAAACTTACTGAGAAGCTTCCAACCCAGGCTTACCCAGAGGTTGGACTAGAGCCTGCTTCTCCCCTTTCCTAGTAATTCGTAGTAATTACTTAATTACTATATGTAGTTATTATTATAACATTTGAAATTTAATTTCTTGCTATATTTATCCATTGGTGGGATTCAAATTTTTTACTACCAGTTCTGTGGGCATGGCTTGGTGGGTATGATTTGGTGGGTATGGCAGGGAAAGGATACTACAAAATCTCCATTCCCTCCCCACCCCACTATCTGCTTTCCATCTCAGTTCTCCAATGCAGGGCAACAAAAGAAGACCCAGCCAATCAGCTGGGACTCAGGAGGCAGAGAATAGATGGGGGCGAGGCCAGTCAGAGGTGGTATTTGCTGGTTCTCTGAACTGCTCAAAATTTCTGCTACCAGTTCTCCAGAACTGGTCAGAACCTGCTGAATACCACCTCTGGATTTATCTCAAGCATGCATAGAAATTATATATAATATCATGTAGATCTTTCCTTTCCTTTTAAGTCCTTTTAATTTTTGTTATGCATATTTACTCTGATTATATTATCATCGCTATATTTTTAAATCTGTGTTTAAATAGAAAAAGCTCTGTTTTTCTGTTTATACTCATTCCTTTGCCAGTGCATTCCTAATTATATATTTGAAAGGAGCACACCTTTTCTTTAACAGCTTTTCCTCAGTCACTACTGATAGGTACTTATCAAATTGTCAAAATTTCCCCAGTCATTTTTCTCTATTTATTTATATTTTTTATTTATATCCATGAGTATCACTAGTAAATAATTACATCTATACTTCCACTTCTATGTATCATCGTCATCATCATCATCATCATGATCATCATCAACTTAATAACAACCAGTTAAAATAACCCCAGGTATAATATAATATAAAATACAATATACTTTATAATATGTAATGTAAATATATAACATAAAATATATTTATGTTTAACAGTTTATTAATGGTGTGCCTCTACTAACAAATTTAAATACAAGGTAGCATTGTGTCTAAGGTCCTGTATTCATCACCACACAAGATAAGTTTCATTCAGAGCTATTACTCGTTTCTCTTTCCTTTTCATTTCTTAGACACTTATGTTGCAGCAGATCCTGTTTCCAAATCAGGACACAAGGACACAAGGTTGGAGAATACAGGTTTTTATTTGTGCACAAAGGTTCAGAGCATTAGCATGGCAAATTCTGAACCCCTGGCTCTTCCTGAGGTGTCACTTTTATACATTTCATAACCTCAGCCTAGCCCGGGGCATTTCTTATGTTAAACTATACCAAAAAGAAGAAGTACATATCTGTTATTTTCCAGACCCATCCTTATTCACTGAAACATGCTTACTTCCAGTTCCTTAGTTCAGCAATTTCGTGGTTTTACACAATATGTCTATAAGAAGCAAGGTAAGGGGTCAGAGGATTTCTGGTAAATGCATATTTTGTTCTTGACCTTCCAGGTTGCTTCATTCCCCCCTTTGAAACTTCACTTAAATCAGGGTCGTCTGGGTCATCCTGATTACTGTGGAGTTTCACACATGGGGACAAGGTCCTCACAAGTTTTCAATACCTCATAGTCCCATAATGCCATAGCCCTAGCAGCAGCCTTCCTCTCTACTAACATAGAAAGACTGTTGGAGATCGTCCTGACAAATATTAATGCTTTTTGCAACTTCCCTTAAACAATACAATTTATAGTGTGTTCCCCTTGCGAAGCATATCTGCAGTTTAGGTATTCTACCGAGACAGGGAAGTTTAACCAAACTGAACAGGAAACTCTTAGCTAGGCAGCTGAGGAAGAAACACGTTGTGGTTTCTTCAACTCAGATAAGCACTTTAAACATAGCAGTTTTTAAAATTCGGGACCCCTCTAGGTCATCTAGTCCAACCCCCTTTTTGATACATAAAATCCTTCAAAAGAATTCAAAAGAATATCTCTTTCCACCACACACCCTATCCCTAAAACATTAACATCTGTTTTACTTGTTCTTATTTTCAGCCATACGTAAGAGGGTCAGCTTCCGGAGTGACACCAGTAAGGCCTCTTCTGCCCCGTATGTTGCCTGCCCATTGCCGGTAGGGCAGTTATAGGGGGCGCTTCTTCAAGTGTACCACTCATGAGACTCACCCATGAATCCCCTAATTGACTTAAATTCCCTATATTATTTCTCAAACTAATACCTATGACAGGGGGTCTTCCAAACATCATTTCAAAAGGAGATAAACTAATTCCTTTCATTACTTTCGATTCTTTAAACTTTGATAGTACTATATCTCTTATAAAGGGAATCAAACAGGAGAGAAATATTAGAACCCAGAATCCTAATACAGCAGACCTTGTTTAACCCTTCACCAACCCAATTTGCTATGCTCCAAAATTTTTATTAGGACTAGCTGGTTTTGCACAATGTTATTTTCCACACTTTTCTTTCACTAAGTTCCCAAGACTGCAGTCATCTCCTTTAAGTTTGTCGTCAAATTTAATTGTATGTCCATTAGCTCCCAGAGTGCCATCCCCACCTACGTGTAGGCCCTCTTAGAGTTTCAAGCATCCAGGGGCATCACTGGTATCTAGGGATTCAAGGGCTCCTTGCTGTCCAAGCCTGAATTCATTCCTTCAAGAGGGATTTCCCCATGTTGCTTTATTAATCTCATCACACAGGGTCCAAACCACCCAGTGGGGAGGCTAGTATAGGCATATTTTTCACATTCCCTATACATAACTTCTGGGGTAGTCCAGTTGCCGTTATTTGCTTCATGATTCTTACAATAACACACCAGTCACATTTGTTCTATTAGAACTTCACTCAGTCCAGTCCCATTGGGCAAAACACAATAGCCACCCACAATCCAAATTTGTTGGATTCCATTAATCTCCCATATTTGATTCCACATACACGTACGCAAAACACACAAATGTCTCATTGAAGCTATTTTAGACAATTTCTTCCTCCCTTCTTCCTGTTGCACGGTGTTAAGGTTCTATCGACACCTAGCTGACTTGCAATAAGTTATACTTATATATCTGCAAAAAATGCTTTCTCCTGTAATAAGTTGCATAATAAATAAGCTTATACTTTTACTAGTTATATTTTAAGCTCAGCATTTTTCCTAAAGTCTTATCTTTTGCTTTACAAATTAATACTCATTTCCCAACTCTGGCTATTGATACTGGAGTTAGCTTTTCCCATTTAGTAGGGGCTAGTTGCAATCAGACTGTTGGTCTTGGTTTTGGTCGTGTTGCTCTCTCAAGGTTCCTAAATTGTTCACGTGTTCGTAGGCCACTTTAGTCCCATTAAAAGTTTCTCTTCTTCCCCTCTATTGAAAGTCCTCACATGTAATTTCCCAACCTCCACCATCCAAACATTCAGTATGTACACCAGTCTCAAGACGGTTATAAGATCAGGTGAATTTAGCAGTGGGATTTGTTCTGTGGTTGTTATTTTATGTTGGGGAAATACAGCGGCAACTACTCAGTCCTAAATAGAAAAGGAATGTACAGTTTGTTCCTTCCAGGATTTTATCAAAACCCACTGTCCTGCCTTAAATTTATGTACAACGAAGTCCAGGTGGTGTTTGTGCAAGGACCCCTGTCTGTCTCAAAAGAGAGACTGGGACAATTCAAGAATATTTGTTCTCACAATTTTGTCTGTTAACTCAGTTCTAGGCAAACTCTCCTTCCCACAGTATGGGATCCCCAACAACATCCCATCTCTCCTTCCACTACCTTGGCACTTCCATCTATAAAGTAGTACTACACAATCATGTTGGTCCCCTTCACTCATTCCCCCTCTCATCAAGAATTGAGCAAGGTTCACACGATTGCTTATGGAGAGGACCAAATTAGGGTCTTCTATGAGGATTCCCTCATACTTTAGGATACAAGAATTGGTTAACCATCTCCGAGCTCTTCGAGGCAGGATGTTCCTGATCTTATGTTGGATTGTAACCACCAAAGCCCTCTCCTCAAATGTGTGGTTTGTTTTTTCTTGTACTATGAGAGCTGTGGCAGCAATAGCCTGAACACATACCGGCCACCCCCGTAGTACAGGGTCTATTAAGCCGCAGAAAGGCTACTGGTTTTAAGAGACCTCCCCATTTATGAGCTCTTTTCTATTATTCCAGCACAGACTGTTACAAATATGTGGAAAGGTTTTTTTTTTTTCCTCCATCAGGTAGTGAGAGAACTGGAGCCGTTTTAAGGGCTGTTGTCAATTTTTCGACAATTGCCTAACAGTCCCCAAAACTTTCTGAAGTCTCTCTTAGTTCCTCAATTCTAGCAGGAGTTATTATTCTACTCCCTTCACTAATCAAGTGTCCAAGATATCCGATCTCTCTCTACATACTACAATCTCAAATTTGATGTGGCATGGGTTGATTTTTATTTCTTGATTTAGAAATTCAAACTCTGGCCAATGTGGCATCCCAGAGGGATTATGCTTCAAGATGTCCAGGATGTCCCAGTATCCACTAAAAATTCAATTTCACAATTTCTTGGTCCCACTTGCAATATTAACCAGTGTTCTTGGTGGAACCTCAGATGCAATGACTCCCGACATATTTTATTTTTCTATCATCTAATTTTCTCTGTTCCTCTCTCTCTCTCCAGCTTTAGTAAATCACACACATTTCTCCATGAGAGCTTTCTCATTTCCTCATACAGGCAATTTCTTTATATGAAAGTACTCTCCTTTTAATCTGGGACGGGGGTCAACACACAAACATTTACACCAATGTTATTTTTTTCTTTTCACCATCAACGTACTCACACATTTATACTGTAATCAGACTGCTTGCATAACCAATTTCTCACACAAAAATTTCATTTCATTCTTTCATTCTTTCTCCAAGCAAATCAATCATTACTTACAATTCTTTTCTGAGAACTTTTTCTCACAAGCCAATAAGCTCCATTCTCTTTTTTTTTTTTTTTTGCTGTTAGAGGATCTCATCCTCCAGGTTTGGAAATGATTACACAGAGACACATTCACACACACACAACATTTCCAGACCTGGGGAGGTTTTGTCCCTTTAAATCTCCACTTTTTCTGTCTTCAGCAATGGGTTGTTGCCACTTCCCTTTTTCTTGAGTCAGGACTCCAAGAGCTATATTAGTCTTTGAGTCCACATACAAATGGAAAGATTTCTCAAGGTTGGGAAGACCCATAACAGGAGCTTGAGATGCTAATTATTTTTAAGTCTCAAAAACCTGTTTTTGTTCACAGGTCCAAACAAAGGGTTCCCTTTCTCCCCCCTTTGTGGACTCATAGAGTGATTTGGCTAGCAGGGCAAAATTTCTACAATAGCCTGCTGCTTAAAGAAACTCCTGTCGGTTGGTTCTGCAATTCAGCACACAGCTTCCTTTTTCTCATGCCCTATAGCTCTGTGGCCCTAACTTATAGTATAACCTAAGTATTTAACTTGAGGTTTCACTAATGGGGCTTTCTTTCTTATTGTTTTAGTGAACTTCTTACTTTTACTTGAAGTTACACTCATTGTTAAGCACGAGATTTTTACTACCTGTCTCTGCCCTGGGTGTTCTGTCCCTTATCTTTCTAGTTTGGATCTCCCAGACGACGCTGGCTTATTTTTAAAGATCCAAATTGTTCTCTATCTATCTTAGAATCTCCCAGACGACACTGGCTTATTTTTAAAGATCAAGATCTATAGAGACCTTCTTTCACACCTCATCTGCACCTGGCCAGGGTTCTCATGAGCAAGTTTGAACTCCACTTTTCTTTTTAAAGACAACTTTTACTGTTTAACATGTCCCCATGGGCTCCATGGAGAACACGGCCCTAATCTTACCAGTTCCAGATAGAAACTCCTATGCCTGTTTCCAAATCAGGACACAAGACCACGAAAGGTTGGAGAATACAGGTTTTTATTTGTGCACAAAGGGTCAGAGCATTAGCATGGCAAATTCTGAACCCCTGGCTCTTCCTGAGGCGTCACTTTTATACATTTCATAACCTCAGCCTAGCCCTTCACTTTCTTTTAGTTTATTTGATAATCTATGGTTGTGAGCCATTGTCAAATGGTTTTAAGGTGCAGGCCAGAAACCAGAAGAGTTCTAGTCCCACCTTAGGCATGAAAGCTGGTTAAGTGACTTTGGGCTCTCAGTCCATTACAGCAGGCTCTCATGACAAATCAACTGGTCAATTTCTGTTGAAACCAGTAAATCAACAATCAGGAGATTCCCCACCCCCCCAAGAAAAAAAATGGATCCTGTACTTTTGTGGGAATTGTGGAGAAATGCTAGAAAGAAGAAAAGGAAGATTTTGTAATTTATGATCTTTATTTTTTACTCCTGTTAGATTCCAAGTCACAATTTCCCATATGCCATGATAATCATCAAACGGATCTATAGTTCATCTGCCCATCATAGCTTTGGTGAGTAGACTTCCACTTAATGCTTTTTGTTAAGATAGAGAAACCATAAACTATGCTGTTAATGTGAATTGTACCATACCTTGAGAATAGCAAGGATAGTTAGTATCAGCCAATTTTGGCACATTTTGGCCAATATGCCACAAATACAATCAAAGTCAATTTTACTGCAAACAGATTAATGTTAATAATTCTGAGCTGATGGTCTATAAATGTGACAAATAAATTATTATTCTGGAGTCTATAAATGTGACAAATAAATTATTATTTTAGAGTCGGTAATCAAGACACTACCTTGCAAACCAATGGGGTTTTGCCTACATTTCACCAATTAGGAGCTATACACAATCTGTAGAAAAACACTAACAATACACATCAGTAAAATAAGCTCAAAATCACACCCAGAATAAATGTTAAAGGGATTCCCAAAGCATGAAATAGAAAAAAAAATGCTTCTTTCAAAGGAAAGAAAATTCTGAAAAAATAAGAGATGTTAGCATAGTCACAATGCTTGCTGCTACCTCTCCTAATGTAACTTTGAAGTTGGCTTTAGTTGGACCCATAAGGCTCTATTAAAAGTTGAGGAACAGCCTTTTTTTTGTCCCCATTACTCAGGACAAATCTGGAACCGTGCAAAGAATATAATTTATCACCTAATTTGGCCTACTCTTCTACTTTGAGAAGAGAAAATATGAAAATAATCTTCATTCCAGCTGCAACTATCAAATTCATTGGATCTCAGTTATTCTTCATTGCATGGAAGTCACATATTTGTTCCTCTTAAATTCACAGTTCTATTAACACCACACAAGATTTTGTGTTAATTAAAGAATTGGTATTAAGAACTATCACATTTGGTACTTTCCTTCTGTGCCACTGTTTTATTCATGGCTATCTTAGACCATGCCACTATTTTATTTATGCAATAAATATATAAATATTAAAACGCTTTCATTGTGCTATTTAAAATTAGGAGGAAGAAAGTAAAAGAAAGTAAGGTGATTCATGCTAATAATTATAGAAAGAAAAATGAAAAAAAAAACAATAGAAATAGCTTGGATACTTGAGTAATTTCATTTTTAAAATTTCCTTTTCTGATAGGAATATCTGTATTCCTACCTACATATATATAATACCTACCTAACATATATATAATATAATTTTTATCATTTTCAACAAACCATGTTTTATCTTTCACCTTTCAAATAGGTAAATATACTGTATTTCTGTTACATTAGTAAAAAAATATGGGGGAAGGAGAGGGGCAGCAAAAACAATCTTAACAGATTAAAAATATTTTAATCAACCACACGTATGATAGTTCCTATGCCAATTAGTCTTGCATGTTTAGGATTCTTAATAAGATTACTATTTGTCCTTGCTTTGTCAACTTCTTCAGAAACATCATTCCCTTTGCAATTTCAAGACATATAATGTTTCATGTATGTCTTCAGTATATACATTGGCTTTTCCCAAATGGAACCCTCTAGGTGGCTTGAAATGGTAACCAGCAGTGATTTTGCTGTTTGGGATTTCTAGACTTAGAAGACTTATACTTAGAATAAATTTATTGTCACTTTGAATGTACACACATTGGCATACATTAAAATGACATTTCATCGCACACAGCTCTCTGAGGGTCCCCAATATACACTACATAATCCCCAATATACACTACATAAACATGACAAAATAAATAAATAAATACAAAATTATGCATATACTCACATATATTATATGACACAGAGAAACAACACAGTATAGTTTGGATGTATACACATCAGAGGTGGCAGCCAGTTCTAACTGGTCCTAGCGGACCAGTAGCAAAATTTTTGACTGATTCAGAGAACCGGCAAATATCACCTCTCGATGGCCCCATCCACCCACCCCCACCCCTGCTCTTACCTCTCTTCTATATTCTGTTGCTGCACCTCAGCTGAGCTAAAAAAAATAGCACAGCTCACCATCCTTGATAAAGAGGGTGGTCTCTGAGCCCTGTGCACATGTGTGATAAATGCATTTGGCAGGCGCCTCATTAGGTGCACCTGCACAGCTCACCAATGTTGATACAGAGGACATTGTTTGAACCCTGCGCATGCACGTGCGAAGCATGAGTTTGGTATGCACACATGTGTAGAGTGAAGCAAGCTCTCTGAATCAGTAGGAATTTTTTTTGAAACCCATCACTAATACACATACATGGTAACAAAAACAAATTTTGCGAGTTTACCAGATGGATAGCATAGGGAACAAAGCTGTTACATAATCTGGTAGTCCTGCTATAGATATTTTGAAACCTCCTCCCAAATGGGAGCAACAGAAACAGACCGTGAAGTGAGTGTGTGGAATCCCTAACAATACTTTGAATACTAAGCACATGGTGTTATATATGACCAAATATGGCCAAGGAGTGGAGTCGGCCAACAGACTCTACTCCTTGTCCCAGCCACTGGCGGGAAAAATGAAGTCCCATCAGTGGCTGAAGCTTTGGACAGTGCCGGCATTAAAAGCTGGCACCTGCCGCAACTGAGCGGCTTTTTGGATTTAACTTCAATAAAGACTGATTACCAGTTCCTGCCGTGTCCTGCCTCTCATTCACGCATGGACCCATCTAACACTGGCAATGAAGATGGGATCCTAAATTGCAGAGAGAACAAAGGACACCTCATGGGATTCGGATGCCATTTCTGCTGACCCACGAAATGATCACGACCCACCAACTGACATGACACAAAGTGCAACCAGCCTGGCTCACCGTCCGATGCCAATCGCTTATGATCCAGCAAAGGAGAAATGGTTATCCTACATGGGCCATTTCAACCTGCACCTGGAAGTCAATGGACTTCAAGCAGCCCCCGATGCACAGAGGAAAGCACTATTTCTGACTTCCTGTGACATCGAGATCTACGAAATGGCAGATGCCCTGATCGTGGACGACCTACACACTGTATCCTAGGACAAGCTTCAGCGCACTCTCCGGGGACACTATGGCACTTCTCCCTCCTACCTGGCCAGCCATTACGATTTCTACACGTGGAGCCAGAGAGAGGGAGAGATGATCAACATGTTTGTGGCAGATTTGCAGAGAATCACAAAAAACTGCAGATTCCCAGACACTGAGGGAATGATCTAGGACCAGATCATCCTGGGGACAAAGGACCCTGCACTCCAAAAGAAACTTCTGGCCCGCAAGGACGTCTCATTCAAAGAGGCTGTCAATGAGGCAAGAGCCGCAGAATTGTTCGACAATTCAGTGGCATGAAT